GTCCATTGAGGAGTTTGTCCTCAACAATGCTGGTTCTTATTTATATAGCTTGGCAAATGGGAGCAAATGGGGCAAGGTGCCTCATTATTTTTCATTTTCTGCCACTAATACAAGTAAGAGATGGGAACTACTGTACTAACTACAAAGTTCTCTTGGGTTTTGTTAAACAAGTCCTGTCCTTTACTTTTCTTCTCAGGGTACAGTACTGTGCTAGTTTGTTAATGGTTGGAAAAAGTACAGACTTTGTACTTGGTTTCAGGCTGTTTATGACCTTACTCATTAAAATAAGATACACCATTAAGGAATGAGAGCAAGAGAGAACTTGTTCAGAATTTGAAATGTTAATGAACGTTAGTGACTGCAACACAGCTCATCTTTATTAATTTGACTGTTGCAGACAAGGGGAAGTAAAAATTAAACCATTTACGTACAGTACTTAGGGGATGTTTATGTTTTCTCCACTTTCTCCTTCACTGAATTGCCAAAAGACCAGAGTACAGTAATTTGAAGAACTGTTAAGTTTCACGTTTTACACAATTCCAAATTTCGGAATGACTTTTCTAAGAACGAAATACACACACATTTGTCAAAGGAGCATTTTGAGAGTAAGTAAAAATATCGTAATGAGTTCACATACTTCTTTACAAAAAGAGTAAAAGACAGGGAATTACTCAAAAAGAGTAAAGCAGGGAAGGTTTTAAAGTGCCTCTTTCCCCCAGGTATTCACAACTGAAAAAAAAGAAGAAAAAATTCAAGACTGAGCAAGCACCTGGTAGATGGCATTTAATGTAGACAAGTCAAAGTATTATACGCTGGTAGTAAAAACAAACTGTATATACAAAATGGAAAAGAGCTTGATGAAACTACTTATACAAAGACATAAAGTAGGTGTTTAAGTGAAGGCATCATTAACATCTTCTAGACAATGTAGAGAAGCAAAAATAAATCAAAGTGTTAGGGTTATAGTCAAACACATAATATTCAAATCAAGGAATGTTAAGTTAAAATTGTAAAATGTACTGGCAAGGTCTTGATTTCATAGAATAAAGTGTATGATTTAGGTTACAAAAATTAAAAGAAAATTAAAAGACTGAAATTATAACATACATTCTAAGTGTAATAGAAATGTCCTATGCTGACAGGAGGAAAGAAATGAACCTTTTTAGTTTTAAACAGAGAAGACTGAAAGATTTCAAAATCTTTAAAGCTTTGATAAATTCAAATATTGGAATTCTTCAAAATAATTGTGGAACAGCAGGCCAGAGTACAAAAAAAGAAACCTACTTGCACGTGTACTGTATTTCCGGAACAGGAGGCACTCCTTTAACAAAGTTGTGTGGGAGTGTGGAAAAATCTACCCAGCCATGACGTTGAAGCTCTTACCCAGGATTCTTTCAAGAAAAAGCTGGATGAGATCCTCAGATATTAATTGCATCAGATGTTAACTACCAAAGACTATAGATGAGCTGAATGGCCTCCTCTTGTGGGTAACCATTCTTATGTTCTTATGACCATTCCTATATACAGTACATTGTTACCTAAACTTAGAAGGAAAGCATTAATAGTCATCATGAAGAGGGTAATTTATGTTTTGCTGTCAATAATAATAAAATAACAGCATAAAGCTGTGGGTAATCATCATTGACTTTGTGCTCTGAGGCAAGCAGGGTTTCAGTAGAACATTTGTGTAGTCATGAAGATCACAAAGAAGAGTGTTCCCACTTTGTAATCCAACACTTACAAAGTTGAAAGTGCTTTTTCTTCTTCAAACCACCATTTTCTAAATACCCTCTGTGCTTTGAATCATGATGTGCTGATCAGCTCAGCTCACCACCACAACTGACTGCCATTTGGCATATTGTGAGCTACACTGCCTTACACCAACTCAAGAAGCATCTCTCCTTGTGTTCTGGCAAGTCCCAAGGGTTCAACAGTGTGTGACATGCTGAGGCACAAGCCCACCTACTGCAGCTCAGCAATGTAGCACCAGTTGTGCTCAGCTGCTTGGGGAATCCCAATCACTGCTGACTCATGGAAGACACCGGCAGTGTCCGCAGTACAGCCTGCGCTCTATGGAAGCACCTTTAGTGATTGGGCAACTCAGGAACTACTCAGAAATAAAAAAATAATATGAAGTAAAACAAAATGGGTTTTGTGACTCAGAGGACAAACCTGCCTTTTGAAGCCACAGTCGGAGTAAACTACTAACAAGAATTCATAAACTGTGTGGTGAGAAATCACTCAGTTAAATGCGCAGGTGACATTCTGTTATGCACAGGTTTTTGGGGGAATGAAATGTGTGTGGTGGTGAGGAGGGAATTCAGATTTGTCATATTTTGTTTTCAAAACCTGGAATATCCAGATGTTTTTGCATACTATACATTTTTAAACACTGAGGTCACTCTGGACATCCATGTATCCCTTAATTAATACCTGGTTTTACGGAAGAAAATAACAGGTTGACTCTAAATGCCATGGTTTCTCCTACTACCAAACAAAAAAAAAACAAAATCAATACATATTATTCTTGGCCAAAATAACAGTCTGTCATCCTAGATGATGTACAGTAGAAATCACCACAATGTAACTTTGTAATATGAAGTCACAAAGACTTTCGGTCACCTTTTCGGTGTCAGTAAGCTGAGCTGCCTGAAGCCTTGTATTGTGTTTGTAACTGTAGATGCCGCTGTGCAGGAGGCCCCTCCTAGGGTGTTATACTGATAGACTGGGTCTCAGAGAGAACATGGCTGCTCCTGATTGCCTGGTTGTGTGGCTTCTGCCAGGAACAGTCTGAGAACGCATGTGATCCATTTAATTAAATCATAGCATCACTGCAGCATGATTAGCTTAGTCTTCTTTACATAAACAGGCTGTAAATTATTTTGAGTGTGTGCCTCCTCTCTATCTCTCTTTTCTCAATTGAAACACTTATCTCTCATGAACAAAGCCTGATGTTGTTAGATCTTAGAAGCTGAGCAAGGTTAGGCGGGATCTGTAGGGGGGCCTCTTAGGAAAACCAGGCTAGTGCTTTAAGTGCTTCTGGTGGATAAGTGACAACTCTTCCCTCTGGACCACATTTTCTAAACCTACACCAAGTTTGGTGACTAGGGACACTGTGATATGACAGGTGCTGTCCTTGTAATGCATACAATAAGGCACACAGGTACCCCTTTCAATGAAGCGCTTTTAAGGAATTAGTACCATGCATGCTACAGCATTTAGTCGCTTTGCGAGAGGAGGTAACAAGGAGTGCAAAAATATCTTGTGTAACTATACCACAGCCTCTCATTGTACCACCCTGACAAAGAGCTAATTTGTTAGCACTACCTGATAATTATGAGCCAAAGCGCCTGCTGTATTTCTAAAGTGCTTCATACATCGTTCACAACAGAGAAAGAGTAATCATGCATCTGAAAGCCTTCAGCAGAAGCAAATTTGCTCAGTGGAGGGGGCGGCATTGTGCAGAGAAGTGCTGGAAATAATTTGAATACTGAAGGTGAGCTTTGAGGTGACCAAAGGTCACTGGCTGGTAGGATATGGAGAGGACATGAGTGGGGAAGTGATACAGTAAAGAAAAGAGAAGGTAAAAAAAACAGGACATACAGGAGTATTCTATTTCATCTGTTATTCTGGCCTGAAAAGAAAGAATTGTGTAGTTTTCTGTTTCAAGAAAGTATTTAACCCAGTAACCTTTTAAGAAATGCCAACCTGTTTTGGAATGAAATGAGTTTATAAGTAATCCTTCATAAAGTATGCTTTTTTCTACTTGTTGTTGGATACATTCATATATTCCAATAATATAGCTAGTGAACGTATACAAAGTATGTACTGTGTGTACAGTACTATGCACAGTACATACAGGTAGTGCAAAAAAAATGGATACACCCATGTAAATGTGGGATACCAAGCATATACTGTAGTATGTAAGAGTATGCACACAGGTGTGGCTCATTTGTTATATATAATATATGCATGCTTAGTATTGTACATAACAACAATGAACAATTATAGGTAACAATGGTCTGGTTACCTATAATTATGGCTGCAAGTGGAGTCCATGGTGGCTGTGTGTGTGGAAAAGAGCTGTCCAAGGAAGAGCTTTGAGCTTAAAACATCTTGACATTTGCTATTTTCAGTCTGCATCAGGCCATCGAGTTCTTTTTGCTATTTAAGTGCTATTTTACTGTCTTATACTCATTGAGGCAATAACTCTTTTTTCATTAAGAAAATTAGGTAGCAAGCGACACACAAGGGACAACGCATTTGTCTGTGACCCAATTATCCAGCTTCAAGGAAACCCTGTTTTTTTTTCTACATCTTGCTCCAAAGGGTCAGAAACCCTAATGCATGAGATTTTGTGTTGAAAACTGAGAACGTACACTGTTTGTACCAATGTTTTCTTTTATTCACATACAAAAACAAATGTGTTAATTAACTGAATTGTGAGTCCCTATAGCAATTTCAAATTTTTATGCTCATTTAATCAACTGAAACTTGATGCAACTGTGTGAGGTTTTCAGATCAAGGCATGAGACTTGAGAGCTAATGATCTTGTGGTGCATTGAAGCAAAACAGCATTTCAGTATTGATTAATTCCAATTGGGCATTCATGGGATATTTTAGAACAGGGCCCCAGATAGCATTTTATACTGTATCTTTACCAACCAGGAGTTGATTTGACTTTCTCTTGGACGAATGGTGCTGCAGAATTCTTGGGGCTGGTAGGCTATATGACACAACACATACAGACAATATAGCCCACACTTGGTGGCCCATTAAGTGACTTTAAACTGGTATAACTGTGTTTTGTCCAACCCCTTTAAACAGTATACGTGAACAGCAGACATTTATCAGAAGCTACACATTTGTTCACATGGTGTAACGTTGTTCCTCAGTGTCCATTAGTATTACTGGGAGCATTTTGGACTAACAGAAACCTATTATCTCATATGTAAAATAACCAATAACTTCAAATGCTTTTCAAGTAACCAGACAGTCTGTTTTTATCAACACGATTTATTTTAGATCACGAAAGTATTGTATCATTATTGCTATCACACGGCACATTTTTTCTTACAGAAATCCTTTTTAAATCTGTCTTGTGTGGTGCATTTCAACAAAATGTACGTAAACTAAAAAACATCTATGCTGCCAGACTGAGTACACAACCAGCTTGTGTAACTGCCACAGGATTGCAACTCCCTGCCTTTTATCCCCATAAGGCGGACTTTTGGCATTTTATCCTGTTTGTGGACAGAAATGAGCTCTGTCTGCAGTATGTTACTATGCATTACAGTACATCTGTGCTGTGCAGGGCAAAAGCAACTGATTTGACTACAGGATTAACGTGCTTTTTTCCATGTTTGACCATGGATTGTCTAGTTTTTCTATTTCTAAATGTAAATCACATGAACATAGTATTTAGAGTATCATCAAAGGACATTTCCAGGACATTCACCAGATGCAGAATCGTATCTTGACCCCGTTCTTCACATCTCTTGCTCTTAAGTGCTGGCTATGTTGCTAATAACAGAAATTTAAATACATGATCAGGAAAAACACTGCTTGTAAGAGACTATTGATCTCTTAATGCGTAACCACAAACTATTCATTGTATATTCATATACAGTATATAAAAATGAAATGTAAATGACATAAAAAGTTTAGGTATACAAATATAAGAACTGACACATTCACAAGTCACGAAAGAAAGAAAAACCAGTACCAGTTTTGGATTAAGAAATAAAATACAGATCTACGAACAACAGGCTCAAGATTTAGCTAAGGTGTCCATTTTGTTAAGGGAAAGGTTTTACAAAATATCATAAGCTTGGCTGATGGAAACCAACAGGCCTTAAATTTCCTTGGAGGTGATGAATTGGTATATTAACAAACAATGCACCTAACACCTGATATAAACTTAGCCTAAAATGTGTTAATGAGCCATACATGGTAAATTCATATTAATTTCAAATTCATTGCACACCAACCTCCTGTTTCACGCACTGGCTCTTATGAGTTTTTTAATGAAAGACATAAATAGACTTGTGCCCTGACAGCAGCACAGAGTTAGTAAACAACTGCAGAGGTGCCTGGTTTTCTACTCCAGGCCTGCTACCCTCTTTGCTTCTTCATCAGACAAACGGTTTTGGACATGTCCTTAGTTTTCAGTGCCTGTCCTCTGTGTACTAACTTCTCTCAAAGGCATGTTAAATATATTTCAAATACTTTTTTTAACGCCATATGTTTAATGTAATTACAAACAAACAAACACTGCACAATGAAATACAAGTACCATTTTGTGGTTCCCTTACCGACATTTCATAGATCTTCCACTTGTAGCACTTTCTTTACATTCCTTTTGCCAAACTACGGGCAGAAAAGATGCCTATGTAGTCCTCCTCAAGCACTGTTTTCAAGACGCTGGATAGAAAATGACTTTTAAAAAAACCCAAATAGTTTATCCGTGTTGCACAGTTTCGACAGGAAAAATGTCTTCAAAATGCCCCCTCCCCCCAATAAAACAACAAACTAATTTGACAAGTACAGGAATGTCTCTTGTATTCCAGGTGTTTCCTATGCAGAAATTAATGTGACTAATGAAAAAACAAATTAAGAAAGAATTAATACTATGCATTTTACAACAAGTGACAGCAAAACATAAACGTAATAATGTGTTCATGATTTTCAACAATGTGATAAAAAAGTCACAAAAGCTTTTGAAGAACACAAGAGGGATCTTTAGAATCCTGGCAGTGATTCCTTTGTTGCCATCTCCTTTGGTTTTAGTAAAGTGAGTGTTAAATGATTTCATTACGTTAAGGATGGCAATATTAGCTAAGTCCATCAGGGAGCTCTCTTTTTTTAATCTAAAAGGATTCAGCACCTCAAACTGAAGTCACAATCACACACAATTCTCTTTTACAAATTCAGAAAAAAAGAAGTCTTGAGGAACAATCCTCATCTCAGTACAGAGAAAGACCTCATTTATGTCTTTTGTGTTTTATTATTTAGAATGTGGACCAATGTTAAACATTCCTGATGGGGTTTTTTTAAAGCAAGACTGCATTTATCTGGAGAGGCAAAAACTGTCTAAAGAAAAAGACCAACAGTGCAGAAGGCGATAAACTTTCACCTACAGAGAGTTGCAACGGAACAACATTCAGTTCTGTTGCCTGGAGAAAGTAGCCTGGCGTAGGCGTTCAGGCCTTCAATGGGAATTGCACATTTTGTCACATCATGATAACCACCTCTTGGACCTTTGTACTGTCTGCAAAGATTTGCCATCAGTGCTGCCTTTCTTGCAGGGACAAGGCTTCTGCTCTATTTTCTTTGTCCATCTTTGTTGTTTTAGTCAGTCCCAAACCTTCCGCAAGAACTAGTTTTGCAAACATCGCAAAGTGCGTTGAAAGTAAGACAGACGGTTATAGACAAGACACATAGAAATCATAATATTTTTAACAGCCTGGATGGACTTCCTTCTGCTCTTTTCAAGTCCTACTGTCACTTCCAGTAGCCATTTTAATAAATCCACTTTCTATAATATATAGAAACATCCTCAGAGTCGATCACCATGACGCTGGATTCAAAAGAAAGAAGCAACTGTGAGGAGTGGTCCATTTATTTGCTTCAACACTACCTGGTTAACTTTCCAGTACGTTAGGAAGTGTCCATATTCAAGTCAAACACATGGAACAAAGGCATCTGCCTCTCTGTGGCATCTTACGATTACAAAGTACAAATCCAGAAAATAGAAACAAAACCTTTTAAAATAGGATCTAGTTGAGGAAATGTCTCTTTGCAGATGGTTTAGGTGACTAAACCTTCTGGACCAGCGCCTGGCTCTGCGCAGCCTTCTTGCTCCTCTTCTTCATGCGGCTGCGAGCGTAGACCCTGAGAAAGAGGGCGAGGAAGACCACGGCCACCCCCAGGCCCCCCACCATGGTGATGGCATGGCCATACAGGAAGCACGACAGCAGGATGGCGATGGCCTGCCGCAGGGTCATGATGATCGTGAAGACAGCAGCACCAAACTGACTGATGGTGTAGAAGATGAATAGCTGGCCACAAGCTGAGCACACAGAGAGCAGCACAGCATGGAAGGCAAACTCTGAGTGGCGGCTCATGAAGCCCAGAGAGTCAAACAAGGCCCCCTGCTCCAGGAGGGAGCCCACTGTGAAGAGGCAAGAGAAGAGGTTGACGCCAAACATCATCTGCACCGAGGACATCTTGTACTTGAAGAGGTTGTCTTGCCAGTTGGAAGTAAAGCTGTCAAAAAGGATGTAGCCACCCAGTATGATCACTCCCGAAAACGTGGTGACGGTTGAAGGGTGCTTGTGGGTGGAGCTGGACAGAAGGAACATGCTGACGCCAACAGAGATGAGCACAGCCGTAAAATATTCCCAGTACTCGTAGCTTTTGCGAGAAATTACCTTTCCCATGAGCATAACCGGGATTACCTTCGACGCCTTGGCCAGCACCTGGGTGGGGAAGCTGATGTACTTGAGGGCCTCATACTGGCACCAGCTGCTCAGGATGTTGGAGAGGGAAGCAAAGGAGTACTTATACATAGGGGCCCCGTGACGAGGCTGCTTGGTGAGGACACAGTACAGGCCAGACACCGTCAAAGCAAGGATGCGGTTCATGAAGACCAGGAACTGGGAATCCTTGAACTTCTCACCCTCCTCTGTGCTGGTAGCCCCATAGGTGCGGGTCATAACTCGTTCCTGAAGGATGCCCCATGTTAAGTAAGAAGCCTGGAAGTACAAATAAGCAAGGGTGCTTTTGATAATGTGGATTAGGAACATTATGTTAAAGTGTCAATATTCAAGTCAAATACATGGAAAATAGTCAAGAGAAACTTTTTGTACAAGAACTTTCATGCATCCCAAGATCAGGCACCATGCTATGTATTTACAAAGCTTTTTTTCCCCCATTAAAGACATTTCCTCGCTTTTCAGGAGCACGCAGGAGATTTTTTCTCTGATATTCTGAAATTTCGATTGGACATACACTACAAAATAATAAATCTTGTTTACTAAAGTAACTGAGCAAACTAAGATGACTAGGTAATATAAATAAAACCTATTATCTTTTTAATGGCATAAAAATGATGGATTCAGAAAACCTAACTTGTGTAGCAGCATATTTCTGGCAAGCTTGCATACGACTGACATCATTCTCCTAGTTTGGCAAGGTAAACCATTATGCTTGTTACCAGAGATACAGTTAAAATGAATGTGCACCTTGTTGATCTAAGGAGTAGACAAGCTGACAAAACCAAAAAAGGAGGCGAGCAAGACCACTTAAATAAAAGTATTAAACAAAACATTATAGCTTGGAAACTTTGCTTGATACATTTTAGTAGTACTTACATTTGTAATAAGAATTTAATACTTTGGACTTTGTTGGTCCCATATGTATAGATTCTACAAAAGATAAACTGGAGCTCTTGATTAGATCATGTTTTTTCCTGCAGATGTAAAGTGTCAGAAAATATTACACCTGTAATTATTGTGTGGTATTGTATGTAAACTTATAAATATGATTTATGCATTTAATTATTTTTTAAATTAAACCTTATTTCGTTTGATACACTCTCTCCTAACCCTTAATTGAGTGCTTTCATTGAAATATTGAAGAGCTGATTGGATTTTACAGCAATATTGTAGATCGATCTAAGCAAAGTTTATAAATGTGGCCAGAAACGGAGTCAACACTATACGACACCTGATCTTGGGATTGCACGTTCAGATTTTTAAACGTCTGAGAGGCTAAAACCTTTAAAGGCAACACAGAAGCTCCATGAGAGTTTTAAAATGTTGGGGCTGTGAAGCAGGTGCAGCCAATCTTGAGCCATGTCACTGACGCTTTCCCCCGGATCGCACCTGTAGTCCAGCAGTGCAGAACAACAGTTTACAAGCCTGTCTGGCTGTTGAAGATGGTTCCGTTGCCTCAGTTTTGGATGCTGTAGGCACTTCCTCTAGCAGACTAGATTTTGCTTCACCCCCAAAAACACAGGACTTTATAAGAGGGAAACAAATGCCACGACCTGTAAAGAAAACAGGAATATGACTAGACAAGTTACTAAACTGCGATTAAATCAAATTACAAAATAACGGAATTATACTAAGAGTAAAGAAAATAAATAATCCTAGTCTATGACTAGATACACCAGGATGGAAGGTGAATATCCAGGATGGAAGTTTAAATATCCTCTTCATGCCCACTGCATGTTTTGCAAAGACATTTAAATTAAGTAAAACGACAAATGAGCCAGGCTGGATTAGAACAGCTAGCAGTTCTTTATTCCAATTATTATGACTTCCCACAAGGTTATCTTGCATTTGAATGAGCCAAACCACCAAAAAGCTCCACACAAAAGCATATGACATACTGTACATGTAGGTCTGGCTCAGGTAGTAGGTATGTGGAGAGACTTAGCTTCAGCAAAGCAGAACACTGAAGCCTTGTGACCATGCAACAGTAAAACCTTTGATCATTAGCATTCAGTTAATATAATTTACTGGAGATGCAAATGATGAAACATCAATTCTCAATCTGTAGAACTGAAAAAGTATCACTGTGACTAAAGAAATCTCAGTGAAAATCTCTCACCTATTTCATAAAATGAAAAATTATCTTCATGATTGTTTTAGTTGTCAAAGTCAGTACCTACTTCATTAGGTATCTTGCCTTCAGTAATCATCCCTTTTAAGCGATACAGTACACGTTTCTGTACAATATTTTCGTAATATAGAAACATTATTTTCAAAACAAGTTGGGTGCTTCAACACTTTTTTTTTCATTTTACTTTCACCCAACTGAGAATTGCTCACAGCAACAACTCCTGTAACAGAAAAATAAAATTCCTATTATATAGCACAATGACAGGACAGTCAATTCCACATTTTAATTAATTCTCTAGGCTCCATTACAAAAGCCCACTGATGCCAAGGATAGTCAGAGGGGCCAGTTTCTCTGCAGGTTTTCATTTTACACCTGTACTTAATTTGATCACTTTAACACAATAATAGTTAAAATCAGAGGAGGTTATTTGGTCCACCTAGCCCATTGGTAACTATCAATGATCCAAGGAGCTCAGCAAGTGATTTCTTCAAAGAAACCAGGTTATCGGCTTCAACAACATTGCAGGCTAGCTTGTTCCATACTCCAACAAACTGTTGTGTAAAGACTTCTGTTCTCAGTTTTAAATGTACTTCCATAAAGTTTCCACCTGTGTCCTCTGGGTCTTGTTGCACTCCTCATTCTGAAGAAGTCTGTTGGGTTGGTTCTATCCATACTCTTGAGAATGAGGAATACTTGTGTCAAGCCTCCTCGCTATCTTCTCCACTCAAAATTAAAAAGGTTCAGTTCTTCCAACCTGTCAATGTAGGATATTCTCTTAAGTTCCAGGATGTCTGAATCTGCTCTTCTCCGGACTGGGGAAATAACTTCCCTTTGTGTGAATTGTACACTTATAACTATATATCCTAACATTTTGTTTGTTTTTTAATTGCTTCCCCCCCGTTATCTAGAAGATGTAAATGGTGTGCCAACATAAATACTGTACATGTATTTTTCATACGTACCCAGTGGCAAACAATAGGAAACATCTCAGTGTTTACCATTAAGTATTTAGAGGTTGTTTCTGCTACCTGCACGCAAAGCCCTGCACTTGTCTACATTAAATGTCTTCAGTCAGGGGTTTGCCAAGTTTTGAAATTGTTCTCAAATACTTTTTAGTTCTTTTAATTCCAATTGCTACCAGTACGTAGTTTGTCAGTTTTCCAAATTTTGGTATTATCCGCAAATTTGTCTGATTAAATACACCAGCATCTAGATCACTGATGGAAATCAGGAAGAGAAGTGGTCTTAGTACAGAGGCCTGTGGTATTCTACTGATTACATTAACCAAAATGTAACATTCACTGCTCATCTTTATTCATGGTTTCTATAGTGTCTTGTGCAGAGCCAGGATGTTAGAAAAGCAAAGACAGAGGGAAAGGCAAAAGAAACTTTTATTTTCCAAGATGCACCCCGAGACATGCAGAATGGGACTGTATATTTTAACATGTTCTCTCCCAAACTGGTGACCACAAATACTTCTACACAATGACAACGTCCACCATAAGATCCATTCAGTCGCCCTGATGTAAGGCTGCAGGCTCATAAATAAAGCTCTTTTCTCCCCACTTGGCCAAAGCAACGAGAGATGGCCAGAAAAAGCATTTCAAATATAAGTCAACAGCAAACCTGAGGAAAAGCAACATCGATACAAAACCAGAAGGAAGGAAGAATATCTGGAAAGGAGCGCAGCCCTATACTCTAAACCCACAGATGTCAGAATGAGAAAATGATGGATTAAAGAATCCTCATCATAACCAGACTGCACAGTACATACAACACCTGCTGAACCTGTCTAAGAGCTGATGGATTCCTCCTTGGCCTCATCAGTTGGGTTCAGGGTGATGGAAGACAAACTGTTCTCCAGTGGGAGGAACGGCCATATTTTATTGTTACCTGTCCTGGCACTAGGAAAAGTTTCCTTTACAACCTCGAAAAACAACAAGAAACATTTATCCGTCTCGATCGCCGTAACATGACAGGAGTGTGCCAGTGTACTTCTAGGTTCCAAAAAGTCAAGCAGGTCTATTTGAGAAAACAACAAAGTCAATGTATTGGGTTCCCTGGGTCTGTCAGGGAAAGACGAAGGTCAAAACAAGAGGTGTTATCTAACTGTACTTAGTTTGAGGTAATATTGCTTTGCCACACAAAATATGTATAATGTTAACATTATACATATTTTTTTTAAAGCAAAAATCATATTCAGAATCAGGATTTTTTACTTTGATTACTAGACTGAATACTATTTATAGTAATGAACAGTTTCAACTGTTTATATTTATAAGTTGATTTGGAGAACCATAACTCACACTGGGCAGTGTGGTGGCACTGTGCCTAAGGATCTGCGCCTGTGGCTGGAAGGTTGCCGGTTCAAATCCCGTGGCCAGCAGAGAAATCCTACTCCGTTGGGCCCCTGAGCCACCCAACTGCTCCATGGGTGCCGTATAAATGGCTGACCCCTCGCTCTGACCCAAAGTTTCTCTCCCTGTCTGTGTGTCTCATAGAGAGCACTTTGGGGTATGTGAAAAGACAAATGCCCAATACAAGAAATTGTATATGGTCAATATAGTGATCTTATCTTATCTATCAGCATTACCTAAGCCTTATCAGTGTGTCCAGTTCTTAACAGGCTTTAGCCTTTTCTTAGTATTTACCCAGTGTTATATTTCAGGTTTTTTCAGAAATGTTACAGCAAGTACACATCACATCAGCCTCACACATCACTCTAGTCTAGTGTCCCAGCATAATTGCATGTAATGTTTTTTGTTTTTATTGTTTCTTATTGGTTTTATTAATTTCATTTGATGAAATGATTTTTTTCCTAAAACTTTTTAAACCTATATTTAATAAAGTTTATTTTATGAAATCATTAACTGAACTGCACACTTTTAACAAGAATATGTATAACTCAGTCATTTTACACTAGTGTACAAACATATCTTTGTTCTAGCAAATAACCAAAATAATCCAAAAATAATTATGGCTGAGCTGTTCTCAAGTAATGTTGTATAAATATTAATATATATTTGCTTTTACAAAAACAGCAATAACTGTTTGAAATGAGGTTAATTGCACTGAATTTTCATTAACCATTAAAGCTAAAATCATATATTCTATAAGCATTTCATCATGCGTAATCCTGAATTCTGGTTCACCTTGACCAAACAGCATTATAAAGAAGAATCTTTAGTACTGTATGTGCACATAATACAAGTGTAGGTTAATGGTTTACTGTAACACAAACAGAAATGTACAGGATATAGGATATGTGCATCATGATTCAGAAATAATATATATACCATTTATATATATTTATATATAACCTAAATATACCAATATTTATTAAAAGGGATGGACTGTCTTTTAAACAATATAGATTTACATTATGCAACCCAAAGTGTTTTCAAGCCATGGTGCCATGTATAAATACTAGCCTACCGACACTCATGCACAATTTCTTTATTGCTGTAACTGACGTTTCATCAGCACTGTACACTGCACAGTCAGTTTCCTTACAGTCTCAGGGATTTTAAAATAAATGTACTCTGTTGGACTAGATGACTTTAAACTTTCATTTGATAGAAACTGAAATTGTGGTGCAGATTGTGCCACAACACAGTATGAAACACACACATATAACTGAAGGCTTTCTTCCCTGAAGTTACAACTAAAATGGCATTATGAGTCTGTAAAATGACAAATTTGAATATCTGAGTTAAGTTCAAAATACTTATGCAGAGTACACAGCTAAATTATTTTTATTGGAGAAATTGTGAGCAGGCCATTTTGCCTCTTTTACAAGCAGGTTCGTCTGCACATCACAAGAGTAACAGTGGCAACAACCTCTGTGTTAAAGATTTAATTATCTCATGACATCCCAGTCATAGGGCCTATAATGCTGTCAGTATCAGTCCACAACTTGCAGATTCGAACAGCTTAAAACCCAATTGTATAGCTACTGTAGCCTATCTGCATTAAGACAAAAACGTCACTGCGTCTGCTGTAATACTGTATATGGCCAATAAAGTGATCTTATATAAGTGTCAGAAACAGGTGCCAACAAAGTGTGAACATAAAAAATAATGACACTGCAGATAAATGCAAAAATATAATACTTGGGGGAAAAAACACTTAACATAACTGTATTACATGATTGCATTGCCCTAAAATAATTCCAGAAAAAAGTACGCTTTTTCTAAAGTGATAACTTTGTTATTGCAATGATAACATCTGAAGCTCTTTTTGATGAGTTGTTAGGGTTGTTCTGTTCCAACAGGTGAAAACTTAGGATGGGCTAAAACAAATACATTCAGCTCAGTACTTTGCTTGCACATGGGTGTTGTTCACAAAGTGACATCAAATATGAATTAATAAGCAGCTGAAGTATCCTGAGGTATTTTAACTCTCTGCTAATGAACAAGCCACACTTTCTTAAGCATTTAAATCATCAGACATAATATTATTATTGACATACATAAATAATAATGTCCATTGGTTCTACAAGCAGAAAATTTAAATAAACGGAGTAAAATTAATGTGAAGTAATGGTACCAAACACTAAAGAAGAACCACCAAAATCAGTTAAAAATAAGACTGAAGCTCCTAATTAAAGTTACTTTAATAGAATAAAAGAAAAGTAGAGACCAACCTGTTTCTAGGTAGTTGATGCTCTTGAAATATTTGATAAGCAAATAGCCGGGGACAATAATTGTAGCATAGCCCAAGACATTAAGAATAAACCGGAAAAGCCAGAAATCAGTCCAGGTGTTCAGGGATAGGGAGTCCTCTCCAGCAGCTTGAGCTGGCAGCAGCATGACCAGAACCAGCCCTGAACAAACCCTGGAGAGACAAGAAAAAAGAGATCAGAACTTGAAAAAGGCTTTGGTGTCTGCTGAACTAAAGCAGCTTCAATAAACCTCCTCATTGTTCTTCAGCTCCACTTTATACCATTTCCAAATAATCTGTTATGCATTAACTAAGCCGGTCTTCCACTGCCCTATAGTATCCATGCCTCTACTGGCCTTTGTTTCAGCAGAGCTCTAAATTAAGTAAAATTACTGAACCCTGAATTTAACCAATTACTTCACTGTAAGATTTTGCAATCAGACTTTGGATTCAGAAATATTCTCTTTTATCTGCACTACTTTCAAAACATGTGGTTGACATTTGTGTCTATCACAGCATATATTAAGTGTTGCTCTCCAAATTTAAGCTGTCAACTCCAAATTGATTATGAATGAAATATATGTAGACCCATTGATTAAACCAGCTCAGTATTCCTGAAAAGGAGGGGTTTGAGAGGGAGCCCGTGTCTAGCCCCATAGTATTTTTTAAGAGTTGAAAGCATTTTAGAAAAGAAATACTTTCATGCTAAGATTAAATAATAAAGATCTCTGCTGGCATAAAAACAGGAAGATGGTACTCTAGGATGACAACTGTGAAACACTGAACTAAACATGAGATCAAGGTACTGATTTTGTCTTCATCATCTAACGAATCTCCAGAGGTATTAAACAGATTCATTGTTTTTATTAAACTCAAAATATGAAATTGACACTGAAATATATATAAAAAGCATCCAAAACACCTTTAGAATACCTTTAAAAAACTTTATTTTATTTGTCCTCATTTCTAAAGTAAAACCAATCCTTATTGAACTGAACAATTGGTAAAGATATTTTTCCCCAATCTTGAGGAAAACATGAGTTATTCTTAAACATTTTCACATTCCACACTAAAACGTAGTACTAAAATGGCATCCGATTTTTTTCAGAGTACAGAAAACACAATTTCCTTTTATCTTGGAATCACTTTTTCTCAAGTCATAAAGTGAACCAATGTAAAAAATGAAGGCCACAACCTTAGAGAAAGCCAAAAGAAATCCCAGATTTTCTCCCCTAACCTGCCTATCCAGAAAATGTGTCTTTGGTGAGTCTGACGAGGAACTGAGGTGAACAGAGACACAGTTATATGTTTCAAATTCCATGCGAAAGTCTACTCCCGCATGGCTGATTCTAACAGTAACTCTTTGTGCTCGACACGGCCAGATAAAAATAAGGTTTGTGAAAATGAATGTCTGAGTGATAGGATATGGGCTAAAATAAGTCACAATTTAATGCAATCGGTACATTTATACTTCAGTTCTTAAGATAATTTTACATAACTGCCATGGGAAGAATATATTTAATGAATTTATTTTTTTAATAAAACTTAATTTAATTAATCTTATTAACTCGTACCCTTGAAAACTACTTAATTTAATTAATCTTATTAACTCGTACCCTTGAAAACTGCAAAATTTAAAATATTACTGCTTAGAGAACACAAATGAAACCTCCTGAATGTGCTGGGAAACTGGTGTCTCTTTTATTAAAAGCCTCTGCTCAGAGTTCAGAATGACAGCCACGAAATCACAGATTTCAGTCAGTGCTCTGCTGTGGCTGAAGGGTCTTTCAATAGTGCACGTTCACCCAGTCAGGGGCTAGTGCCACTGAGTCTGTATACTATCCACAGCAGGAGAGTGGTTTCTCTGTTAGGCACAAAAGCATCACAGTTTGTGTGCTGGGTTTTGGGAATGTTAAGAAAATAAGTCTGTTGCACTGAATAAATCTGAGTTGTTTTAAGCTCTCTCAGGTCAGTGTCGTGTTTCAAACCAAGGATGGGTTGAAATCATAACGCTAAAAGCAAAAAAGTAATTACAGACACTAAATCAGAAAACTTCTCAACACTTCAGTGGTATGAAAAGCAAAATTCTCTGCTTTTTTTTTAATTCTTCCTCCGAACTACAACATAAGTATTGAAGCTACAGAGATTTGCTTTAATCATTCCATTATTTCACAGTGGCAGCAAAAATCTGAGCCACAAAAATCTTACATTAGGGAAACCAGATGTTGCCCAACAGCTCACAGAACCCGTAAATTTCTGCTATTTAAAGCAGGCTATATAGCAGCACATCAAGAGCGCAAAGCCTTAATTTTCACTAGCCTCCAAGACATGTAACAGGCGAGCTTCGAAAAGCCTGCCTTGCACTCAGCACTTCTTCTATTCCAAAAGGTGGTAAACCAACATGCTGGGAGAAGAATTCAGACCAATAAAAGTTAATTTTATGTTGAAGAGTAGGAGGTATAAACACAAAGTTTGAGCTCGTGTGTCTTCTTCAGGTGTCGAGGCTGAGGTGTTATCGATATTGTATCAGAGCAGCAAAATCTATACCTACTGCCTGGGTCTCCCAAATGTGCCGAGGCCCCTTAGGGGGAAATCAAGTAAAGGTGCTTTAGTCGAACAGGGGTTTCTCAGACAGTGGCCAGATCAGCCACTCCTGGGCACCTGCGATACTGTCAGCTTTGTCAGTAAACCCACCTGTAATGTGCTGTAGAGCTTGCAGCATGTGAGAAGTTGAACGGCTCTAAAAAGGAGGATGTGTCAGATTATAATTTGTGCAGGTCCTCATTCCTCATATACAGTAGAAGGGCTGCAGCCATAAAGGCGAGTCATAAACTACTGGCAGTTCCAAACATCACTAAGCAGACGTCTAAGTACCTGTACATACTAGGACTTGCAAAGAGGCAGACATTCCCAGAATGTATTATCTGCTTGGAATCGTTCAGAAAGGCTCATAGCATATTGACATGGCAGCTACTCAGGTCATCTGCAGTGAAACAAGTTCTTCTCAGACTGATCTCCAAAAGACATGGTAAGAAAACCAATTTTAAGCCATACTAGGTTTATGCATTTAGCATTTTTTTTAGTTGAAAAAAAAAAAGCTTAAACCTATTTTTTTCAAAACTAAAAAAAAAATGTAAAGTTTCTGTCAAGGCTCATAAATTATGGCCCTTTACCATTTCAACTGGATGTGTTCTGCATCCCCCCCAAAAAAATAATCAGTGTCCTGTTGTCAGAACGTGACATCAAAAGACATGCGACAGGTGTGCAACCGGTGTTGCTTTGTTTGGACTTTTCAGTTATATAACAATACGAAAACAAGGGGTTGAGGCAAATCACATTAATAATGAAATCTACTTTCCTAGTGTAGTGGTAGACCCTGACATCAATGCATTAACTCTTTTTAAAGACCGCTTCTCATTCAAGCTGGCATTCTGAACTCACTGATACATATCAACATGAGTGTACCCTCTGTCAAATCGTTCTCAATAACTAACCAGATGATGAAGCCTGTCAGACCTATCAAAAGCCCATGAGCTTCTGTGAGAAGCACCTGAACAATTTTATATCATCCGCAAAAACAACATCACTGTCCACTTGTTTTTACAAGGTCAGTTTGCTTTGCTTTTTCCATTCTTCTACTCTTTTTACTCTACGTTTGAACTATGTTTGAAAACATGATTTTTATTTTACGTCATTTCAGATTCTCATGCATAAGCATATAGAAGACTATACATAGAATAGTTAGTGTTACTTGTTGTTGTTGTTGTTGTTTTTAAAAAGGCATTAGGTGCTTGTCATGTTCTTTCATTATTTTTGCTAAACCACATTACAAAATAAGATATCAATGGCCAAATCAAGCAGAATTCAAACAAAACAACTATTAATCTTGGTCTGCCATTATAGGAAAAAACAAACATTTATAACCTAGTAGTTCAGGTGGGTAGCTGCATCAGCTTGCTCAGGCTGCAAAGGAACAAGTAATAGGTTTATTCCATACTGAAAAGAGAATAAAGAAAACACAATGTTTCGGCCGTGGAGCCTTCTTCAGGTGTGAGGAAGACAGGGCAGTAAGCAAAGGTAATGTAGCGGGAGAACAAAAGCTGGGAGAGAGGATGAGCGAGGGGCGGGAGCAGGGGACAGAAAGAGAGGCCTATCAAGAGGTGTGAAGTCAGAATAGGTTAAGAGAGGTGTGAAATGAAACCTCCATTGGAATGGAGAGAATTTAGAAGAAAAGCAGTCTGTTGTTAAGAGAAGGGGGAAGGTGTGATCCTAGCTGCAGTGTTTATAACCTAGTTGTGTAAACATAAGTGAAAAAAACAGTAAAATATTTCTTAGAGTTCTGAATTGTGAAAACAACGAACACATGGTTAGTGGCACATTGAGGGCAGAATTTCATCACACTATGCTGACATGATAAAAATGAAATCTGTTATATAAAATAAATTTTAAGGTGTGACAGCAGACAAAAGGAATGCACTTACATAAATGCTAAAAAATGAATGCATTATGTTAAGCATTTTTTCTATATGGTCTGACAGGAGACTAAGGTATTTAAAATGAGGCAGCAATCCTTAAAATTACCTTTAAGAACATAATTCTATGCAAACTATAATAAAGTAAGGACTGCAGATAATGTCTTGCGCCAACAGCTGGCACATCAGTTTGAACATTGCATAGGCATGAACACTGCAAACATTATATTTTATATAGCTTGCATTTTGAAAACGTCCTTTTATCATCCATATGTCACAAACCCAAACATACAATAACCTCATAATCACGACACATCGAAAAAGCTGACCATTTTAAAGTATGCATGTTCTGATGGTTTACTTCTTAACGTGCGAAAACAGATCTGTGTCTGATCTGTCATCACATTGCTTTTCTAACATTGCACGTTACAATGATAAAACTGCATTCATAAAAAAGTGTTATTAAAATCACTAATAGCAACACAGCTACTGGTTTCACATTCTCCAGTTAGCACGATTCCGTAAACTTGAGGTAAATGCATAATATACCAATAGTGCTAAGCAGTATCTTTACAACTACTACCAGGAGTCACAAACTGGGGAAGATGCTACAGTAGTTACTTGTTTAATAAATGAAGCTGACGTGTACACTGTACTACTTCCCTTGTGCAACTAGTATTAATTCTAACAATAATCATGTTTCTGTTAGTAGTAGCTACTAGGAAATCTAAAGCGAAATAATGGTTTATATCTAATTACAGTGCATAAAAAGTGCAGTGTGCAACACTATGTTAAGAAACTATATCACAAAGAAATAACGTACCTCCACAAAAAAGATGACATTTCACTTCTCTGCCAACTGGAGTGATCTTAACCCCGCTCTTAGCTTCTCAGCCTTGCCGCAAACTTTTGTCCTTCCTACTGCAGTAATGCATTTATTTGAAAGTGTAAAACGACAAATACAACATAAATAACAAAGCCAGATATTCTATATTGCTGCCCTGCCTCTCCCGCCGCTGAAACCGCTACTTTCCAGCTCAGCGTAAGAACTCTCCACTGTAGCAGGAAGCACCGTGTTGACACACCAGCAACATCATAAAGATAGCCGGGACTTGGACACGCTGCATCTCCACCTATAGGTTTGGCGGAGAAACTACACTGAAGACGTACAGTAGCTCTAGGCTCACAGAAGATCTAAATACTCTTCGACCTGTAAAGAAGGTAAGGTATTCTATGGGTCCAACACGTGATTTTTGCTATTAATAATATGTCTGCTGACAACTAAGTTGTGGATGTCTGCTAAATTAAACTTAAATTATTTTCATCCACGATTCCCGCTGGTGATAAGTTTTGTTCAAGAGAGAAAAAAAAATGTGCAGGACTTTGTCCAAAGGCCATTTTTAAAATAGTAAAGGAATATTTATATATATTTTTGGAGATCCACAAGTTTTTATGTTTTTTCCTCCTCTCAAGCCTTCATTTTGTTAATTCATCTAATTATATGCAGAAAATATGGCAACTTCCCAAACTTGAAAAATTGTCACAGCACATATGTTCAGCTGGGGTTTTGGTTAAGCTGAAACAATGTTTTGATACATCAAGTGTTCTCATATTTAGGAGCAAATCATCCTAAAATCATATGCAATTTTATATAACCAGTTCGTGTTGAATTATTCCTAAAAGGATTTCCTTGTTCACAGCTCCCTTGACCTCCCTCAGCAATCATCCACACCAGACACTTCCCCCTGCAATAAAACTCACTGCATCATCTGAAAATTTACAGTATATCCAATACCACCTGGATGATGCAACAGCAGCGATAGTGCGCCAGAACGCTCACCACACATCAGCTATGAATGGGGGAGGAGAACAGGGTGATGAAGCCAGTTCATAGATGGGGCTAATTAGGAGGCCATGATTGGTAAAGGCCAATGTGAAATTTAGCCAGGACACCAGGGTTACTACCCTACTCTTTATGTGAAACGCCTTGGGATTTTTAATGACCACAGCAAGGCAGGACCTTGGTTTTATGTATCATCCATATGACGGTGCCTTTCTAGGGTATTTATTACCTTTTTTAATTATATAATGTTAGCATGCCCAAAGGGGTTGGGCAGCAAGTTGAACTTGGACCCCTAGAGGTTTTTTTTCTCCTTACTAAGGAATTTTTGGTTCCTCTCCTCCGTTGTCTTCTGGTCTTCTGTTCTGTATTCACAAAATGTATGGTTACTTGCATTGTTTAGCGCCTTGGGGTGCTAATAAAATTAAATTGAATTGAAAACCACAGGCTGAACACCCCCTACTGGTCCCATTTCCAGCAGTAACCTTAGGTTTCCCAAGAGGTCTCTCATCCAGGCACTACCCAGCCTCACACCTTCTGAGTTTCAGTGGGTTGCCTTGTGTGAACTGGTGATATACAGTTGCTGCTGGCAATGGATGGAAAATACCAAAAATGTTTAATCTGGTTTGTTAGATACATAGTGCTATAAAATGTGACAGCAAGGAAAAGCCTCAAATAGAAAAATGAAATAAATAAACCTGTGATTAAGAAATAAGATGGAGTAGAAAACTAGAAGATACAGGAGTTTAGCAGGGCCAGGACTAAGAATGACTGTTGTAACCAACAGACATACTGTTGGTTGCATGGTTGCATATCACATGGTGTTTGAATCAACTTTATTTGTTGCTGAGATAGATTAGATCATTTGTTATTGGAAAAAAACCCAAAAGATCCACAAATGGCAAACAAGGTCTTGTCACAATGCAGCTGATATGTTATTGTTATTATGATCTAATAAGAAGAGTGCTAATAATTTATTTTGAGCTACACTGACACAAACCCTCATGCTGAACAGCTGATGGGAAAGAAGCTTTGAATACTTTAAGTATCATCCAGTCACATAAATGTGATTACATGGTGATTGGCTTAGTTGTAATAAAATGTTTGAATGTCCTCTGTAAGTTTTGCAATTGTGATTTCTTAATCTGATTGTCACAGCTTTTCATAAGCAATACAAATGAAAATAACATGAGCTCAAAGAGCTCTGACAATATGTTACTCAGAAGATGATAAAATAGAGAAATTACATAATTAAAGACTTCAGGCTGATGACTCAATATTTTCAATTTTTTCATAAATTTATATAGAAAGTGCAAAACAAAAGTCAAGAGCCTTCTCAGAGAAAGCGGATGTATTTACTGTCAAAAGCTCGAGTCATATTTTAATGACGTATTTTTGGCTGCTTTTGTTGAGAACCTGTGAAATTCTATTAATGCAATCTTAAAAAAACTGTTTTAAAATGTACCAATAAAGGGCTTTTCACAGGATTTTGTGATCTCCTCACTCTAAAATTTCCAGTGTCTGTCACTATTGCAACACAATACTAAGAATAAAGGAAGAAGGCTTGTAAAAAAGGAAACCATAAATACTGCTGATCACGGCCTGGTATATTTGACCAATAGGTTATCTGAGCGCCCACACAAAGTTGCCATGGAGATGACAGGAAACAGGTGACTTGAGTCAGTAAATGTTAAGGTGGCATTGACCAGAAAACTGATGGACCTAAGAAACAATCTTTCTCAGCTTAATGTCGCTCTGGAAATAAATATTGGTAACTTTAAAAGCTTTAGAATCATATTTTAAGCATTTTAAATATGAGACAGAATTTAAGTCAGGTAGGTGAACATATACTGCAGGTGAACAGCTGTCTGTTAAAGGTATGGAATTTGCCATACAAACTGTTGCAGGAAAATAACTTTTCAAAAGAAACAGAAAATAGAAATTGCAAAGAAACAGGTAAAGGTTTAGTCCATCTTGAAAAGTAAAGAAAAAAGACAACATTTCAGCTGTGGAACCTTCTTCAGGTGTCTTCAGGTGAAAATAGAAGTTGTTGTTACTACTACCAGGAGAAGATATAGTATATGATTTTGTATCCTCTAAATATCCTCAAATTAAAGTTTGCCTTCATTAGACCCACAGACTGTGACTACTCCAGAATCCCACGGTACTTCCATCGCCCTAAGACCACAACTGAAATACATCAAATTTAGTGTGCAGACTAAACTGGCACTTACTGTACCTGTTAGCTGGTTCTCCAAACCAGTCATCTAGAAAGGTATTAGGAGATAACCAGTAGACATTTTCTCACAAAGACTTGTGTCACTTCTTTAGTATACAGAAATCTAGGTAAGGAATAATTATCTTAAATGACAGGTGGTGCAGTGGTTGGCATTACAACCTTACGACAGTAGGATCTTGGGTTCAATTCCTGGGGTGCTATCTGTGTGGTGTGTATGTTCTCCCTGTGTTCATACGGGTTTCCTCCAACAGTCCAAAGACATACTTCTAGGTTAACTGGCTTCTGGGAAAATTGACCCTGGTATAAGTGTGTGCCCTGTGATGGACTGGCATTCCATCCAGGGTATGTCCTGCTTTGCTCCTGTGACTTATTGGGATAGACTCCAGCAGCCTCACAAACCTGTATTGGATAAAGTAGATATAATATGGATATACAAACACTCATACTGGAGTCAGTTTTTTCACTGTGCCACCATGCTGTCCTCACACCTCTTTTATTCAATAGAATTCTTAGATTCACTACTGAACTTAAGATGATTTATTGCTACCTAATGACAAAAGATGAAATAAATGGGAAAAGACAGGGCAACATAAAGATGGGGCCATTCCAGTCCAATGCATTACATCATATTAATTACATTATCAAATTTAGGAACTGTTCAGAGGAGCACAACTTAACAAAGGAGTGAAAAAGCAGACCAGAAAGCAGAGCTGCCTTCAATTAAGCAATTGAGTGCTGTATCTTAAAATACAGGCAACCTTAACACTAGTCCTTCATGTGCTCTGACCTGTAATTCTGCCCCTTGGTTCATAATGAGACAAATGGCACTTTGTTATCTTGACTTAAGTCATTATTTTAATTAATACATCTAAAACAAAAACAGCTGTCACTTGCTACCAAAATGAGGCACATTAAAGTAAGAATGGGATTTATTTTTGTGTGTCATATTTGAAACAACTGACAAGTAAAACAAAAAATGTGCACACTGCTCGATTTAGTTGTGCAGCAGTTTATGCTACCATCCCTGTTTAATCTTAAAATCCTTTAATCCATAAAAACACCCTTTAGTGCAGCCTCTTTAACGATGTCTTTGTATTGGTTCTGCACCTGGGAATTTCCTGCTTGTGTGCTGTGCATACAAAGAATAATAAAGCATTTAAAACTGAGAAAGGGCACTATTCAGAAGGGTGTGGGAGTATGAAACAAGCTACTGTACCTAGTCATGTTGATAAAGCTGATAGCCAGGCCACTAGCAGGACAGGACTGGATGAGATCCTTGGATTACTTAGCAACAACCAAATTGGTTAGATGGACTGAATGGCCTCTTCTCACAACTAACCCTTCTTAAGCTCTTATTAATGTCTGAATTTGACAGGCCAATATACTGGCATAAGGCTAACAGATAGGACTGAAAATGAGGAATATAGCTCAGAAGTTGTGCCTTATCTTAACTGTTAAAGTAATAATTTCAATACATAGCTAATTATAAATATTCCTTTCCTGAGAGTTCCCACAAATTACCTTTAATACACAAAGCTTATGAAGGCTATTTACCTACAAGATGTATGCATCAAATTATCATTTTGGTGTTCCAAGACCTGAAGATGAAAAGACTGCATATCCATGTTCAGCTCTATGAATCAATTTCAAGTGGTAAGAAATTAGCAAGCAAAATAAAAACTATTTTGGAAACAGCTTGCTGAATTAATAAGATGTTGCAAGAAATTTTCATTGAGGATATACAGAACACATCTCTGTATAATAAACAATATGAAAACAAAAAGAAAAAAGTTTGTTACTAGTTTATTGGCACAGGTAATTCATCAACAAAAATACAACATAAGCTGTTCCTTGGAAAGGTTTTCACAGAAAAGATGAAACCATTCTGCATCAGTATGGTGTGCCCTTCAAAAGGAAACCAATGTATTAGAGAAAGCTATTATTTGTAAAATGTGCGGCTAGAATGCAAGAAGAAGTACCTTTTTAAGACAGGGTGAAAAAGGACTTTAGTGTTAACAGCTTTAGAGAAATGAACATACTGTATAGAAAGAGGCATCAAAACAAAAATGTGCTTTTTTTCTTCCTTAAGCAAAGAAAATGCAGATCTGATCACAAATTGAGTAACAGCTAATGTACAAACTGTTGCATTTTTCAATACTGTCACACACTGCCATTTCATCATCAAATTAACAAGAAAAACACTTATACTGCTATAGTCTTGCAGGCACTAGGAAGACAGCTCAACAAAGCTAGCCTCCCAGCTGATCATGTGGAGGCTTCATACATCTGTGTCTGCTGCAGACAGCATCTACAGTTAGCTTTGATGGCAGTTCATTAGAAGGCTTTGAAGATTTCAGTTTTTTTTGTATATCACTAGCACCGTCCACATTGCTCCATTTGCAACACACCTGTGGTAAATAAGTGCAATTATTTATAGCATCAAAAGTAAAGGAGTCTGTCCACGAGTACCATCTGAAAGCTGCAGATAAGCTAAATCTAAAATTCAAACATTTTGACAAATACAATCACATCAGTAATCACTAAGCAGTGAAAACCACTCCTTGAATCACATGACCTTTCAACTTCTAATGATCTACAAGTGCACTCAAGGCTTGTAAGTGAGATGAAAAGCATGTATCGGCCTGTAGCTTTGACTGACTATGCTTGGCAACAAATGTGTTGGCTGGGAATGGGTTAGATGATGCACTACAAAGACGCAAGCTCAGGAGTGGCTTTTACGCACTGAATGACAGTATCTAGGATGTAATGCGGTGATTCTCATTCCTCTCTTTCTATGGAAGTCCCATCTGTGAGGTGGCTATCCAGCTGAATGTCAGCTGGGATTGGTTAATCTTTCAGTAAAAAGATTCCCCCTGTCACACTACACAATATTACCTTAGGCTTATTTTAACAGTCACATCTACCACTATCTACAGGAAATCCTGATTTTCACTCCACTAAATACCAGAGTGATCACCTAGTTAGCAATGCATACAACACAATCTCTAAAGCCAAGTTTAGACCCCGGCGTCCTGGCCAAATTTCCCATTGGCCCTTACCAATCATGGCCTCCTAATAATCCCCATCTATGAATTGGCTTCATTACTCTGCTCTCCTCCCCACTGATAGCTGATGTGTGGTGAGCGTACTGGTGCACTATGGCTGCTGTCACATCATCCAGGTGGATGCTGCACATTGGTGGTGGTGCAGGGGAGTCCCCAGTACCTGTAAAGCGCTTTGAGTGGAGTGTCCAGAAAAGCACTATATAAGTGTAAGCAATTATTAAGTTGACAGCCCAAAAAAAAGCGGTGCAGAGTTAATATTTACTGAAATGTGTATTGTCCAAAAACTTCAAAAAACAGAATTATATAAAGTATTTCAGAAGACTAAGCAACAAGAACACTGGATCAAAAATCATCAGTCAAAAGATGGCAAGTTTAATAATTTAACTTCCACCAACTCCAAATAGGTGCCTATATAAATACCTATTTGATACCACTCTTCTTCCAACAGTTACAGAAGGTTTCAGTTAAACATTTAGGCAAGATTTAATTCCCTCCTCCTACACTTCTACATAAGTGAAAGGGATCTCTAGGAAGTGATTTTTTATAAAAGAACATACATTAATACAATTAAAAAAAACAGAATTCCCCTAAAACAAAATGTATAACACAAATAGCAGCCCAGAGGAGACAACATCCTTAGGATTCAGTTCCTGGCAATATATGTATTGTACTGATTTCAGAAGAAAAATGCTGCTCAGGTGGGCAGTCCAAAATTCAAACCAAAGTCTTTGGAAATGTCTGGTTATAAATACGCATGTCAAGTCCTCAGGGTTGCCATGTCACAAGTCTTCAGAATTTCATTCCAACAACAGACCGGCCAGAGATCTGAATGTCATCAAATGGAAAGAGTGCAAGGATCTGGAAGACACAAAGAGGACAAATTTAACCAGCTGCAGTGATACCCATGCTGCAACAGCCAAGCTTACAACGAAAAGAAGACGCTAAAAGCTAAATACTGTAAGTGTCAGACTCCCAGGGAGCAGGAAAACAAACACCCGCTGAGTGCAGGATAAGGCCTAGAGGCCTAGAGGTGGGTGGGACTGCACAGGCCTTGGTAGGGGCTATAAAGCATGAAAGACAAGCTTGTTTTTATTTATTTTAGAAACACAGCTGAAACATTCGCAATGTGGAGGAATGAAATGGTTTATCCCAGGAACACTGGAAAAACACTGCTAAACAGTTATTCAGCTTTTAGTCAGTGTACACTTGAAACAGTATAATTGTACACTGCCGTTCTGATGAGAACCGTTCAACCCCTCCCTGACTTGCACATCAATATGTTATACACATATTAAACCTGCCCTAACAGCTTTGAAAAGGACTGCCTGACTTGCATTAGCCTTCCAAATGTCCTACTATGATTTTTAGCCCTTTGAATCCGTCTCCTTGTTAATGAAATCCCCCCCAAGCTCCAACATTCCGGAAGCAAACTTACATCATCGTTTCCATCAGCGAGGTCCAGGGCGGTCTCGTCTTCCATGTTCCGTAACATCTTATCAGCTCCAGACTGGCACAGCAAGTTAGCGATTGTGGCGTCCTGTCTTCCAACTGCCAGATGCAAAGAGGTGCAGCCATTGTACATTGCTGCATCCACATTGGCTCCCTGATTCAACAGCAGCGTCACCAAAGACGGGTCATGCAACTCCACGGCCAGATGCAGAGGAGTCTTTCCGCTCGTTCCCTCCTGAATAGGAAAAGCAGAGGAGAAACATGGTTACTTAGGAAACAATGTCAATCTGTGCTTGACAGTTCTTTTAACGAT